TCTAATGGTTTTTCTGTCATCCTCACAGTAGTTGATCGTTTTTCTAAATCCTGTCACCTGGTGCCTCTCAAAGCGCTCCCATCCTTTGCCGAAACCGCCCAACTTCTGATCAAACATGTTTTCCGTCTGCATGGCATTCCTTCTGAAATACTGTCTGACCGTGGCCCCCAATTCCTGTCCCGCGTTTGGAAGGAGTTCGCTGACCACCTGGGGGCTCGTGTCGCTCTTAGCTCTGGATTCCACCCACAGACTAATGGACAATGTGAAAGGATGAATCAAGAGCTCGAGGCCATGCTAAGGTGTGTCTGTTCGTCCAACCCCTCTGGTTGGAGTTCCCAACTTCCCTGGGTGGAGTATGCCCATAACGCTCATACATCTACATCCACTGGCCTGTCTCCATTTGAAACCGTTCTCGGCTACCAGCCTCCTCTTTTTCCGTCTACCCAAGATCCTCCTGTTTCCGCTCCCCAGTTCATTCGCCGTGCCAGGCGCACCTGGGCCCAGACCACGGCGGCTCTGCAGAGAACTGCAGACCGTAACCGCCGCCTTGCGGATCGACACCGACGACCAGCGCCGGTGTATACCCCTGGGCAGAAGGTCTGGCTATCCACCAGGGACATCCGCCTGAAGGACACCAGCAGGAAGCTGGCTCCTCGGTTCATCGGTCCATACCCCATTGTTGATGTCATCAGTCCGTCCACCGTCCGTTTGGCTCTGCCCCCATCCATGAGGGTCCACCCTGTATTCCACGTCTCCCTGATTAAGCCTGTCCTCTCTAGTCCCCTGTGTCCTGCTCCTGCTCCTCCTCCGCCTGCCAGGCTCGTCGGAGGTGGTCTGGTGTACCCTGTCCGTCGCCTCCTTGATGTCCGCCCCCGGGGCCATGGCTTCCAGTACCTGGTGGACTGGGAGGGTTACGGTCCCGAGGATCGCTCCTGGGTTCCCCGCTCGTTCATCACGGACCCGGACCTCATCAGGGACTTCGAGGCCTCTCGGGCTTCCTCCTCCTCCGCCTCCTCCTCCTCTGCTCGGCCGCCGGGTGTCGCCCGTTGGGGGGGGGTACTGTCATGGTCCGTGGTGAGCTGACTGCAAGTAACCTGGCTTTTTCCTCTGAGCATTGTTTCCACAGGTGGGCGTGTCTGAGAGCTCCAGCTGCAGCTGATCTCCTCATCAAGGCCCAGGGGATTTAAGGAGCAGTGCGACACTTCACCACGCCGGATGATTACTCTGTTTGGGTAGCTTCAGCCTCAACCTGAACTTGATACTCGTATTTGTGTTCTTGTTAACCTGTCGCTTGTAAAACCCTTGATGCCCTCTCCTGCTCTCCTCCAGGTTCCTCTCAATCCATCATCAGCTCCAGAACAAGCCCGGATCTCAGTCTACCTGACGCACTGCTTCATCCCCTGGCCGCCCGATCTCAGCCGCTCACCAACCAACATCCATACCTGCTCCTCCACCTCTGGACAACCAATACCTTACCTTTGGATCTCCTCAGCTCACCCGGACCAGACAATCCTTCCTGTACAATTACCACTACCAAGTAACAGTAAGACCAGTCTCCAGATAAGTTCCCATTTGTTTTCCGCCTTATATTCACTCTGTCTCCCTCCTTAGAATCTCATCCTGGATTCCTGCTGCCAGTCCTGCATCTCGTCGGTTCCCGTCTCTTACTTTTCTCCTTATTTAGTAATAAAAGCCTTTTTACTTACATTCCTGCTCTCCGTGTGGTGATTCTGCATGTCGTGGGTCAAGAAATTGCCACCCAGCCATGACTGATGGGCAAGTTTTCTTTGGAACTGGAACAAGGCAGGATGTCTTCCACAGGACTGGAACCTTCTCCTGGGCCTGGCTGAGGTTGAAGAGGTGCTGCCGAATCCCACAGAGCTGCTCTGCACAGGCCTTCAGTACCCTGGGGCTGACACCATCTGGACCTGCAGACTTGTTCCTGTTCAGTCTCTCCAGCTGCCTCTTCACCTGACTTCTAGAGACAGATAGGTGTGAGCGGGAAGGTAAATGGGGCAGCAGCATCTCCTGACTTGGTTGAAGACAGATCTATAGGACCAGAAGAGTCCACGACTGTGTTAAGAGGACAAAAGATCTGGCGTGTGACAGAAAAATGTTGGATCAGAGGAGGATGGGATATCTGATTGGCTGGGGACAGCCGAGGAGGATGCTGGGTTTGTTCCTGAACTAAACTTCTTAATTTTTTAAATATTTCTTTAAAAATATTTTTTTAGTAACGCCGTTATTTTAAACAGCGTTATTCCCATCACTGGTGGAGAGGTCATGTTATCCAGTCAGTGTGTGTGTTTGCTAGATCTGGATTGTGTTCATTTTGATAAACTATAGTTTGTGAAGGCTGTACCAACTCCAGCCTGTCTGGACATCGAGTCCACGGGTTTCCAGATAAGAGAAACAACGCCTCTATCTCCGTGCCTGAGGGCGTTTTGCGCAGCTGAAAAGACGGACTTCTGTAGCCCACATCGGTCGGCACCGGGTAGGTTAGGGTAACCCTAACCCACCATCAGAACCAGGTTAGAACCGACCACCAGAAGAGACGCACGGCTCAGCGGGTCAGCTGGTTTCTGGGTCGAAACCACATCAGAACCGCCGCCTGGACCACCAGGAGAGGATGCGCGGCTTTTAAAGATACCAAGTTGAATGGCTCGCTGGTGGCTGGGTCAGATCCAACTAACAGAAGCCCGCATGATCCCCAGAACCGGATCAAAGGTGTCTCTCTCTAAGTACTAAACTATGTTACGTGAACGGATATTAATGAATATGGGACAGCTGACAGATGCTCATTAGTATTAATATTATATTAACTGACCGATACTATTTTTAATTGTCTGGTACACGATAATAATCTGTACACTATTGTGATGTTAGCACACGAGTTTAAACTAGCATCGTTAACTCACAAGACACCTGCTGATTGAAATCAGGTGTGCTGAGGCAGGGTTAAAACTAAACGTGCTGGATACCGGCCCTCCAGACCTGGAATTGAATACCCCTGAATCTATCATCTAAAAGTTTAATCTTACTCAAGAGTTCATATCAAAACTGAATCTACATTCACACACTCCTGCTTATCGTCTCCACAGCTGTCACCTCTGTATTCAGAGTTAAGACTTTCTATCTGGTGAGAGATCTCTTGCAGCATAGAGCCTGAACGCCCTGAGAGAGAGGTGGAGAGTTGGGCGCCACCTCTCAGCTGTTTGGAGAAACAAATTCCTGAAAATGACGCAAACACTTATCCTACATAGGTGTTTTACTGCTCTTTGACCTGCAGTTTCTCCAAAAATCTACAGTAAAATGATGAAATATGTATTCTGGTTATAGTTTACCTGAACCTTAACTAAAATCTGAAGATAACCGCTTTAGGATGTGGGATTTTAGACGGAGGTGAACTGGAGCTCCCAGAGAAAACCCCCAGGCAGCACAAAGAGTCACAGACAGGACTTGGAAGGTGTCAGCTGTGACATAATTCTTGTGTTGCCTCATTTTTTTTAGCTAATTCAAAAAACAATGAGCCTTCAGTAATGCTGGCTCTGCTGATCTCCACCTGTAAGGTGATCTGTGTTATTCTCAATAACCCTACTGGTTATCGTCTCCACAGCTGGGTGGAGTGAATTCAGAGTAAACTTTCCATCTATGGCACTTCCCCTTTTCCTTTATGACGTCACTAATTTTTCAACACATGATTTGTCCAAGTATTGATATGTTCTAACATCATCTAACTATCTAATGTTTAGATAGATAGTTTGGTTTTTTGTAAGAGTGAATTATTAAGTTTCCAATATATAAAAGTCCTGTTTTCTTTGAGAGGACTTGAGTTATTCAGATCAAGGGTAATTAATTTATGGTCTGAAAGAGGTGCAGGTATAATGTCACATTTTATTTTCTCTGCTATGTGGTCTGCTGTTAACCAAAAATCTATTCTTGATTTTGATATGCCGGATTTATTTTGCCATGTAGTCAATTTTATCTCCATTAGTTTTTCTCCATATCAACCCAAATGTGTACATAAAGTTGCTTAAGCTTGCGCTTGTGGTTGAATTTTTGGCAGGAAATCTGTCTATATTTTCATTAAAGGTACAGTTGAAATCTCGACCCAATATAAAATAAAGATTTTTGCATGTTTTGGATAAATTAGTTATTTTATTTTCCAGGATATCAAAGAGTTCAGAAATTTCCTTTTTCGAATTGTAGCCATAAACACATCCTATATGATATACGTTTTCATCTAGCATTAAAATTAAAAGTATGTAACGTCCATTTGCATCTGAGGTAGAGTGTAGAACCTTCCCACTGAAGTTATATTTTAAAAGGGCGACACCTGCTGACTGATTTTAGCCATGAGAGAACTAATTCCTTTGACACTTCCCCCCTCGCTATTGATGATAATTGTTGCTCTTTTTGTAATGGGGATGTTGAATCAACAGAACATTTATTTCATGACTGTATATTCTGTAAAGCCCTGTGGAACGATGTGCACTACTGGCTCTTCCCTAAGATCCCAAACTTACTTGAATTTTCTGAAATTAATATTGTGTTTGGTTCTCTAAAGAAGCTTGAAAATGTTTTAAATGTAATAATTATTATGGGCAAATTCTTCATTCACAAATGTCGTTTTCTGAAAACAAAGCCGTATTTTTTTTTACTTTTCACAAAGAACTCTGCCTCTTTTTCTCATCTGTTAAATTTGTTGACAAAAAACAAGCTCTGGATTTGAATCATATGATTGTTGAACTAGATCTGTTAGAAATCTCCTAAGGTATAACTTTTTTATGTTTTTTAATTATCTGTCTATTTGTTCATTTGTTTGCTTATTTGTTTACTTTGATTCTGTTTGGGGTTTGTTTTTATTTCATTTATTTATTTGTTGTTGTTTGTACTTCCTGTTCATTATCCTTCTTCTATTATATGTTGGAATTCAGCCTGTTCTGGCACTTCCTCTTTCGTCACCACGCATGCGCACGCACCTACGGCAGTGACTGCGTACTGCAGTCCTGCAGGGGCTACTCAAAGGAGGAAGGAGACGTCAGATGAACCCATAGGATCAACCGATAGCATCTCTGTAATAAGCGGGGACAAAACCCGGACATACCTGGGACTGCGGGTCCCTGGTACGTCTTTATTGTTTTGGGTTCGTTGCAGATTTTGTTTAACCTTTTCTTCCCTAATGCGATAATTCCTTTAACAGCACAAGTTTAGAGGTCGTCGAGGCACGTCAGTAGCAACAGTACGATATTTAACAGGTTGTCACAACTTTAACATTCACGCGTTCGCTTTTCTTATTATACGAAGGAAATTTGAAACATAACACTGCTTTCATATACACGAGGTTGACGTTTTTATTTTACTAATACTTGTTATATACACTTGAAAACGAGTTATGGTAATGTTATTTTGATACAAGACACATTATTAGATTAGCTAGTTAGTTTAGCATTGAGATACATGAGAAATTAGTATTTTATTGTACTAATAATTCAGTGATAGGTTATTTTTTGGGTTTATTGTCTTTATTTCTAACAATATTTAACATAAGAGTTAGATTGATTTGGTGTCAGAAAATCAAAGCTTCTAATTACGTGGACTTTTGGGGCACAGCTATTTATAATCTATAGCAACTCAATCAGGAAGGAACAAATACATTTTTTACTGAAGTGACTTAATAAAAAATGTTGGTAGCCTCTGTAAATTGAGGTTTTTTTTTGCGAATGTTGTTCCCATCAGCAACATTTCTTTCTTGAAAATTCTATCTTACATATTTACTGATCTAACATCATCTGAACTCTGTGTGCTCACTGTTCTGATCTGCCCTTTTTCAGGGCATGTCCACGTCCGTCACCTTTTAGCAGCGTCCCCGTGGCCAGAGCTCCCTGTCTCTCCACACCAGCAGTGACAGACAGCAGGACACTGATCGGACCCGTCATGGCTGCCAGGCTGCAGAACGCTGCAGCTGTTTCAAACAGCTCAGCTGAAAACAAAAAAACAGATGTGAGGACCAAAGAGAAGAAGTGCTGTGAGTTTTCTTTGAGGTTTGATTCCGCTAACATGTCCTTTATTAATGACTGAACTTTACCACATCCTTTAACAACTATTGGGCTGTAAAGTTCACAGGAATTGGACGTTGTAACACAATAATAACATGTCAAATATCAGCTGTAATTCATCTTCTGTTGATACTAGTTTATTGTACAGTCTGTGACTTTATTCACAAATGCACGCACCACAGGATCCCTGCCTCAGGGCCTTAGTACTATAAGTAAACCTTGTAAAACGTGTTTGGGATCTCAGCATTGTTTTATCTTATCTCTCAGACTTTGATCAAATAATTTTCCTTATTTTGCATTTATTTAAGTAAGGAATTTGATCTTGTCCTTAAATGCAACATGAAAGTATTTCTGGGTACCAGGGCTCTGTTCTGCGAATCCACAGTCAAGTTTGTTCTTGCCAGAGCCTTATTTGGATAGGAACGGTGGAAAGAAAAAAAGCTAAATATTTTCCATTCAGTGTTCAAGCCAACAAAGTTCCACTGTAGCTTTGATCTGGGATGCCTCAGTCCAGAGCTAAGGAAGAGATTAGAGAGATTAATCACAAGACAAGAGAAACGTCATACAGGTGAACTGGACATGCAGAGGTGACTTTAGGTTATTACATAACCCTCACACACCTTGCTGTTACTGTGTGTGCATTTGCTCATTTGTTTATAAAATATTCTCACCTGTCCGTTGTACCTTAGAGCCTGCAGAGGGTAATGTTTGGATCCTGGCGTGCTTAAAAACTTCCATCTTGCATAATTGTATGTGTTTCATGGTTGTGTTTAAACTGCAGCTTGGGCCTCCTACATGACCAATTCTCCAACCCTGATAGTGATGATTGGGTTACCTGCTCGGGGGAAGACCTACATGTCCAAGAAGCTGACGCGCTACTTGAACTGGATCGGAGTGCCAACGAAGGGTTAGTTCAGTGGGAACTTGATTTTTACCCCCAAAAAAGAACATTTTGACTTAGGCATAAACAACATGTTTGCTAGAAGGTGATCATTTATCAGCCACTCACATTTAGTCATTTTTACAGTGGTCATTTCTACACCACAGCTAAAATCTGGCGCTGAAGGCCAAATGTTTGAGACCACAGTCAGCAGCACTTATTGCACTTTCTGTGTGACTTTGTTGATGTCAATCTTAAAGAATGCAGTGAAACTGGTGTGATGGATGCTGCTGAAATGAGCATACACCCTAATCCTCCTCCATGTCTTCCTCTCTGGGCTTTCTGCAGTCTTTAATCTTGGGGTGTATAGGAGGGATGCTGTGAAGTCATACAAGTCCTATGACTTCTTCAGACATGACAACGAAGAAGCAATGAAAATTAGAAAGTAAGAAAGTATCTTTTTATGTATTTCCATGAAATCCTTTTGTGTTGTAGATACTATTTGTTCCTGCTAAGCAAAAGTAACAAGACATCCCGAGACACCTCTTGTTTTTCAAATATTATGCATCTAAGAAATCAGATGCTCCCCAAAAGTTCCCCACAACTTTACAGTTTTACTCATTTTCAGTCCAACACTTGACCACATTCAGGGTAATTTTTGAATTTAAGCTTAAAACAGCACATAACTCAAGGGATGAATCAAACCAAACAGTTTAGCAAAGAATGCATTTTTTGATCCTTATAATTTGATAAAAGTTGTTTTCAGACCTGTCAGTTTTTCTTTTGTCCTCATATGTCCAGTTTTCTCCACTGACACACACCACCTGGTCGGTCACAAAGACTGTATGGAAAATCAGTGTAACACAAAAAGCTGCGTTCAAAGACAAACAGTAACGTTAGAAAGTTTGAAGAAATCTGTCTTGAGATTTCTTTAAAAATGCAACCAAATCTGGTTCTTTAATATGAAAATATGACGAAACCTGAAGGGACTCGAGATGTTTGAACAGTATTGTAGATCAACATGTTATCCTTTTGTTTAACTACCAGATTTTCTGTGCCTAATAGACCAGTTTAAATCCAGCTTCTTTCATTTTCTGTTTCCTCAGACAGTGTGCCCTTGTAGCACTGAAGGACGTCAAAACCTACCTGAGCGAGGAGGGAGGTCAGATTGCCGTAAGGACACACAAAAACGGAACAATGTCTATTGTTTGTTGATAAGTTATGTAACATGTTCCGTGTTGCTGGCCAGGTTTTTGATGCCACAAACACCACGAGAGAGAGGAGGAACCTCATCCTTAAGTTTGCACAGGATAACGCCTACAAGGTCAGAAGTTCAGCTCTGTTTTAACGAAGGTCTGGTACACAAACTACAGCTTTAATTCATGACAAATTCAGCTAATTGAAATAAATATTACTTTATTATTTTCTGCAACCATAAGTTTAAAGCTGCAATGGCAAATTTACTAAACAAGCAAGCTTGTTAGCACAGACATGGTTAAAGACCTCTCACCCCGCCTGTCCGCATTATCGTCCTGATATGGGAACATGCATTGCCTTATTAAACAAGAGAGAGCTAAACACTGGTTGCAGTTTTTGAGGTCCAAACATCTCTTTTTCTGCGACTGCAAATGCAGTTTTTCTTTTTGGGATTCTGGAAGTAAAGTTGGAGTGGTAGCAGCCGGCTGTTTCGCCCTTTCTGATGTTATTTAGCGGAGAACCTCTCACACCAGAGGTGCTCTGTTGCAAAATGTGCAAATGTGTAATGAATGGAGGACCCAGACAAATGTAGAAGTGCGGTGGTTTGGTGAGACAGACAACCGGATGGTCCGATTGTTGGTTTCTGACCAAGCCGTGTTATTGGCTGAGGTTTTTAGATAAATGTGACCGAACCCTTTTATTAGTTTTTAAATCTTCACAATATGTTATAACTGTACTTGTGAGGCATGCAAACCTAGCTTGTTGTGCAGATTTGCCATTGTAGCTTTAGGCATTGAAAAGCTGATTATGAACTTTGTTTTCCATCAGGTGTTTTTTGTTGAGTCAATATGTGACGATCCAGACGTCATCGCTGAAAATATTATGGTAAAACATTTACTTCTGTGTTCATGTAACCTTTCTTTTGAATTGAGCAGATCCATGCTGAGTTATTCCTGCAAACATCTCTTTCACAAAGGAAGTGAAGGTGTCCAGTCCAGATTACCCTGAGAGGGACAGAGAAAGTGTCATGGATGACTTCCTGAAGAGAATCGAGTGTTACAAAGTGACCTACCAACCTTTAGATCCTGACCAACAAGACAAGTAACAACTCTTGTTAGACTTAGTTTGTTTTCCTGTTCTGGGGTGAAAGATGGTTTGTTTTGTCACAAATGTTTGTAGTTGCATAAACAGTCCAGCAGGGGGGAATATGAGCTCACTGGCTTAAATGCATGTGTTGTTCTTGTCAGAAGTCCTACTCAGACTATACTTCACTTTTTGGATGCAGCAAAGAATATTTGTATCAGATTTTTTTTGTAATTCTAGTTTACTTGTGAAGAAACTAATCATGCAAAGTCTCCTCTTAAGTTTTTTTTTTGACTTCCCAGAAAGTACTAAATATGATTTCTTTATCCTTGAGAATATCTTCAGTGTCTTGGTTGGTGCCGATGTGTCTGGTTAACCGTAACATTTCCTCTCTGACGTACAGAGACCTGTCCTTCATCCAAGTCATCAACGTCGGCCGCCGTTTCTTAGTCAACAAGGTGCAGGACTACATCCAGAGTAAGATCGTCTATTACCTCATGAACATCCACGTCAATTCCCACTCTATCTACCTCTGCCGGCACGGGGAGAGCCAACACAACGTGGAGGAACGCATCGGAGGTGACTCTGAGCTGTCAGAGAGAGGGAAGCAGGTGCTTCAACACTTTATGGAACCCTACATCTTCTGCAGAAAGATTAGATGTTCCATGCTGTAGTTCTTTTTTAAAACACAGAGCAGTTTTGTTTACCTGTTTTCCAGCTACGCTTCGTTTGCGGCTGCAAACTTCCTCAGGCTGACGCTGATGGTGGCGTCACTTCCTTCTCCGTTTATCACGGGCAGCAGAGGACGTTGTCGCCCTCTGCTGCCCGCTCTCCCCTCCCCATGGGACCATGAACAGGGACGATGGAGTTTACACGTTGGACCGCGCATGGGACTGCATTGTCGGAGAGGGGAGAGCGGGCAGCAGAGGGCGACAATGTCCTCTGCTGCCCGCGGATAAACGGAGAAGGAAGTGACGCCACCATCAGCGTCAGCCTGAGGAAGTTTGCAGCCACAAACGAAACGTAGCGGGAAAACAGGTAAACAAAACTGCTCTGTGTTTTAAAAAAGAACTACAGCATGGAATTAGAGAAACGACACAGCAAGAACACACCTAAGATGTTCAAAGATGAGAGGTTATTCTAAAACTTATATCTCTTTTAAGAAGGATGCAAACAAGGGTTTAACAGCTGTAAACACTTTGACCTCCATATTCAAGTTTAAATGACATTATAAAGTTACACTTTTCAAAAAGTAAAGCTTATAAACCTGTAATAAATGAAGAGCTGCATAAATGCAGACTCTGTAATCTTTAACCCATCTGACAGCTGTTGTCTGTAATAGTTTGCCACAGCGCTGAAAGGTTTCGTGAATGAGCACCAGCTGTCGGACCTTAAAGTTTGGACCAGTCAGCTGAGGCGAACCATTCAGACAGCTGAGGAGCTGGACGTCCCCTATGAGCAGTGGAAGATACTTAACGAAATCGATGCTGTATGTTTTTTTTGTATACGGCTATAAGACACACAGACAAAGTAGACCTGTCAAAAGTCTCACTGGTTCCTCTCTGTGTTTTCAGGGTGTGTGTGAGGAAATGACCTATAGCATGATCGAGGAAAAGTACCCAGAGGAATTTGCCATGAGAGAGCAGGACAAGTATCATTATCGCTACCCAGGAGGGGAGGTGAGACCTTTCTCTTTAGTTTAGACTGTCACATTTCACAGGTTCTGCTTGTTCTGATAAATATGTTTCACTCTTCTCCCTCTCAGTCTTACCAGGACCTGGTTCAGCGACTGGAGCCAGTTATCATGGAGCTGGAGCGACAGGGCAATGTTCTGGTCATCTGTCATCAGGCGGTCATGCGCTGCTTGCTCGCCTACTTCTTGGACAAAGGAGCAGGTTACATGAACAGAAACATGACACATCCTCCCATTATTCACACTGCTGATTTTAGCTTAAAGCCTTGTTTTTAGCTCTGCTCGGGGCTGGAAGGAAGGCTTTGAAAAATAATACAGCAAATACAGATACTTTCATTTATTTATTTGACTTTTTCACTTTTTTTCTTTAAATCGTTGATCCACAAACACAGGCTCGCAAGGAAGGCCAAAGTCTAGGCCACTTTTCTAAACATCCGTCGAACGAGATGGAGAGTGCACGCTTTAAATTTGTCATCAGCATCACTGTTGCCCTCTCATCAAAGTAAAAAGAGAGCCAAAGGTGTCTAGCAGCAGACATGCAGCTAGAGGAATACCTCAGGAAAATCCTGAAAATATGAGTGTTTATTCGCCCATGACTGAAGAAGTACAAAGATACACAGTGAGCATTTTATTTGTGGACAGAAATGACTGGAACGTGGGTTTAGAGCAGCGGTTCCCAAACTTATTTAGCCGCGCAACCCCTTCTATGTCCCGACCATGTCGACGCACACCCCCCAGCCCCCACATCGGGGCATGGCTCTATATATATATATATATATATATATATATATATATATATGTATATATATATATATATATATATATATATATATGTATATATATATATATATATATATATATATATATATATATACATATATATATATATATATATACATATATATATATATATATATATATACATATATATATATATATATATATATATATATATATATATATATATATATATGTATGTATATATATATATATATATATATATATATATATATATATACATATATATATATATATATATATATATATGTATATATATATATATATATACATATATATATATATATATACATATATATATATATATATATATATATATATCAGATGTCAAGCTAAACAGAGAGGGTTAAAAAAATTCCCCATCACTTTCATTTTTTAAATAGTAATTAATAAACATTCGATACCATTACAATTTCCTTTGATTTCATTTTAAATAAATATTTAGAGTGCCCAGGTAGCACATAAACAATGCAATTTAACGGTTTTCTTAAAGTAGGAACGTTTAACCTGTGCGGCCAGAGCGCTCTCCTTCCTTCTGTTCTGCGTAAACCTGAGCTGATCACCTACTTGTGCATAATCAAATGTCAATAGGGGACAAGATATAGCCATGATGTTCACTTTTACCTCAGACCGACTTATTGCTGTTTTATGGTGTGGCTGAATCTGCGATCCGCTGCCACGCTGACTGGAATAACAAATAGTGCAGTAACATGAGATGTGGTCAGGTTCATGAGGAGTCACTGGCTGGAGCAGACCCGACTCATCCCAGAAGCTAATATCTTAATTTGACCTTGAATGAAAAATAACCTCTTAAAAGTTTTTATCACGGTGGAGGCAGCGTTCATTTCTGCCTTCAGTCTGACGGCGCGCCGGAGTTAAAGCAGCGTGTGCGCACCGCCGCTCAAGTCACCGCGTCTCACGCTATTTAAACCAATGTTGTAAAATTCCTTCTGCCCAGCCCAGATGTGCTCACTTGTGCACCCGTGAGCCGTGGTTCCGCTGGAACACGTCTGACCTCTGACAGACGCACTCTGAACTTCAGATCTTCAGCGCGCTCTCAATAGCCTGAATGGGAATCATTTCTTGTTATTTAGTTACATCCACGATGTTCTGTGTGTGAGGTTTACAATGTCAGAACACCTGCATGAGACACGGTGTTAATTACAATCTGCCAGAATGACTCACCACCTTCAGATTTCTCCAACACCGTTAAAAATGATCAAATACGGAACATATCGGCGTGCGCAGGCCAGAGTGCTGAAGCTCGGCGCATTGTTATTATGAAGCTAGGGCACATGCGGAGGACACACGCGCGCACGCAAAAATATACTTGTTTTCAATTACATTTATTGTGCCCACTTACTTTTTCGTTGGCCCACCCACAAATGAGTTTTGTACGCTAATGGTGACATATGACAGACTTCTCTGAGCTCCGCAGCCATTACACTTTTCACCTCGCGCACCCCCTAACCCTAACCCTAACCCACACTTTGGGAATCCCTGGTTTAGAGGCCACCTGTAACACTTATAGATGCAATAGCAGTTTTGGAAAACAAATTAGCCTAAAAAAAAATTTTCACACCTGTTAACAATGTTCTAATGTAGTATAGCTATAAATACATAGTGGAGATTTTATAAAAAATTACCCTATCACCCCCTGTGGCTAGAATATTCCACTTGCAACTTCAGAGTTGGCGGTCCAGTCTGTTGGACTTAGAAAAAAATGGAGCTGATAAACCTGGTGCTGCACTCTGCTTCCA